TGAAGAGAAAATAAGATAAGAACCCTAGTTTGAACTAGATCTTAAATTAAAACTCTTTATTTCATAGCTTCAAACTAAGCTTAACCTTCAGCTTGAAGAGTTTTCAAATGTTAAGACAAAAAAGAAACATAATAGAATAGAAACACAGCAAAACATTTGTGAAATGATGTAAAATAGTCCTGACACAAAGGATTACAACAGATGTACAATAGACAATTTCCATATGAACAAAGCAATGTCTCAGATGACTAAAATGACTGAATTTGTAATAAAACGTGTCACATGATCTTTGTAATAATACAAAATTGATAAAATTGTATCTGTAAATGTTTTATGCTCATGCTGAGCAGTGTCAGATGTCTTAAGCCCCTGCTGAGACAAAGCCTGTGTTTACCTAAAAGAAAGCAAAGGAAAAGAATACAAAGGCCTCAAATATGACTACCATCCCCCACCCATTGAGTTAGACATCATAATAACATTGTTGCTCAACTATAACATGCCCGTGGCTTTATTGTGTTTATGTCAAATGGTCTCATCCTGTTTCTACTTTCCTATGACTCTCAGATATGCATTATTCAGTCAAGCCCATTGAGAGGATGAATACAAAAAGATCTCATCCTGTATGTGGCCTCCGGTTACTCTCACTAAATAATTTAAAGACATCCACCCACTCACTCATATAAACAGAAACATTACAGTAGGAGAGAGAGAAATATGCCCAATAACAGAGTGAATGAGGGAGCGATGAGTGACCTCTGTCTAGTTTGAAGAAGTTGAAGGTATTGGTGATCTAATAACAGAACTAAAGCACATACAACAAACCAAACCTAAAGGTGATTTCAAATGTAATTTTCACATTTAAACTATAAGCAATTATATTCACAAAGTGTTTATCAAAATCAAAAAAACATTTTGACTATTTGGTAACAGGTTAAAAAATTATATTTTATACAATATATACTGTATAGCAGTGTTTCTCTGGTCCTGGGCGCCCCCCAGCACTGCACATTGTGTGTGTCTCCCTAATCAAACACACCTGATTCAACTCGTTAGCTCATTAAAAGAAACTCCAGGACCTGAAATGGGTGTGTCAGATAAGGGAGACATACAAAATGTGCAGTGTTGGGGGTCGCCCAGGACCAGGGTTGAGAAACACTGCTGTATAGTATGAACAAGAAATAGCCCATGTAAACGAGTCACCCATAAACCAACCATTTTATTATCTACCATTATACAACAATTCAATAATGAATTTTGAGTACCCTACATTTTAGACAAATTATTGCCAGTTACTTTGTGTATTTTGCTCCATCCAGTAAACATATTTTCAAAAACTAACAGTGGTGTGTTTTTGGTGTAACGTATTGGTGTGTCATTCCTTAATGAATCAGTGTTTTTGAACGAAATGCTTGAATGATTCAGTGACTCGCTCAACCATTTAATTTCGTCGCTGAATTAATCTTTTTTTTAACGAATCAGTTGAATGGTTTTCAGTTGAACGATTTACATCAATAGTGTATTGATGTAATCTGCAGTAAGAGTTGCCGAAAAATCCCCACTAACAACCCGTCTAGCAGTCTGACTGGAACAAGCAAACGTAGACAAGTAAAGTTATACAAACTGAGAAAACTTAGCAGTGCTTTTGGACTGTTTAATCATCGAGACATTCGAGAACTGAAACTAACTAATGTGTATCTATAGTGAAGATAGTAGACAACTTGCAGGATGCTTGTTGAATTAGGAAAATCAGCAGAAGGCAGGGATAAAGAAAAATAATTAGAAAAGATTAAATGCATGTGCTGGAAATGGTTTATCCGTCCATATTTCACACAGACTCCAGCTCTGTGATGTAAGGTGGGCCATCTTTCGTGGTGTGCTCTGGTGGGCTCTGGTGGGTTTCTAGTTTAGTGATGGGGCCAAGCTCATGAATTGGTTGGCCAAACTCTCCTATGGAGCTGGGCTTGATTTCAAACATGCTTTTGATGAAAAGAGTCACCAGTCCAAGGCATGCTTTTTAATCTTTTTACTTTGTGAAGTCTACCAAGTAAATGTCTGGCAGAGGTAAACAGTAAAGCATCTATCCTTGTCACAAGTACAATCACTTTACACTTTATCCAGGGCTTGGGATAAGAAACCACACTGTAATCCAACATTAAATGCATTTTGGCAGTGAATCTGACTGAATCGCCCTGGACATGATGGGTAGGATACAAGGATTCAGTTGCAAGATTATCTAGATCTGGATTGAAGTACTGAAAGTAAGTAGTTCCTCACATGACAATGATGAGTGAGTGATCTGAGATTGCTCCGAAAAGTTGGTTAGGTGGTGAGATCAAAACGTTTTAGTTAAGGCTTTTTTTTCTGTGTCCGTCTAATTGGAATGAGCTCACGGCCACTTGCAGCCAGTTGAATGCTCAACTAAGGGTCAGTCTTGGAAAAGGCCATTGGCTCTGGTTCAGTCTTTAGCCTAACCTTTTCTTTCTGCAACTTGAGACGCAAACACACACCCGCAAACCCTCATCAACTGACAATTTTGCCTGTGACTGTAATTGAACTTGGCTGGCGATTTATGCTCCCGACCTTTTGAAATAACACAGAGAGGCATGAGAAGGAGGCAGTCAGACTGACAGAGAGAGAGAGAGAGAGAGCTGAAAGATTTACAAAGAGCAAACATGCCTATTCAGTTCACACAATCTGTCCAGAATCTTCAGAGGGTTTCAAGCATTTGTACATCATATATGTTACCTGTTTAAGTGTTGGCAAACTAGAGGCAACATCAAAAGAGCTTTATGCCTAATTTGCTAATTTAATTTCACACTGTCATATCCTCTTTGTGCCTCACGCCAATTTGATAATCATGGCTGAATAACAGTCCTGTGAGATCCATTCGCCATATCCTATGTGAAGCAACAAGTTTTAAAACAGTTATGATTTACAAAGGATAATATAAGATGTCTAAAAATAGTAGAGGTGGTCCATAGTGATACACGGTCAGGCTCTTTTTTGGTTTTGGAAACTCCTGCACTCTGAGATAATTCTTCTTAATCAATTAACTGATTTACAAGTTTTGTTTCCTGGGAGTTTAGCAATTTTCACTTTTTTCCCCACTTTGCTGTCTTTGAAAATCTATTGATAAAATGCAATATTGATTCATATAAAGTGATAGTTTACCAAAAAAAAAAAAAAAAAAAAACTGGCATCATGTAATTTCAAACCGTTAAGACATTCTTCAGATGTAAAGAATGTTAAAAAAAACAGGGTTTTGGTTCTCAATTACTTCCTTTGTATTTCAGTAGTTGTTGGTTTATTTTATACATTAAGTATAAAACAGTTGAACAGTTTAGTTTCAAAATAAATGTCAGAAATTTGAATGATACTGTAACTGAATGAATGTTTGATCAATTTAATCTTTATCACAATATGTCAAAACAGACTTCTGAGTGAAAGTGGGGAACAATTTTAAATAATGACTCAAAATAAGGGGTTTATGAGAAAATGAGAATAATGAGAGGGGATAATGAGAAAAAGGTTTTCTTTATTACTTGGCATTTGTTCAACAAATGTGTTTGATTATCATTTACGTTTATTCCAGAAAGGATTCAACTGTATTAACACAACTGAAAGCATTGTACGAGAGAATCATATTTGTTTCAAAAGGAGTTACTATTATAACATGTGCACTGTTTTGTTTTATGCATGAGTTTTCATAAAGAGGAAACAAGCTCCTGAACTGTTCCATACCTTCCATGTTACACATGAAATTAACCAATAGATAAAAATAAAAACAACAGTCCATGCAAGGAGTTTATTAATGAGCAATCTGCTATAATATACAAAGGAGTTTCCTCTCAAACATTTCATTCACATTCACCCAATACTTAAAAGACATAAGTACTGAGGTGCACAGTAAATACTTCCCTTTCTGTAAAATATTTTTAAAAAATAGCTTGTTTTGAATTTAAATATTGTTCAAAGCTTTTTTAGCAGGATAAAAATGTGCACAATGTAATATAATGAATATATTTTTAATGTAGTACCAAATGCAGTCATATGCAAAACATTTTCCTGACCCCAGTTTACATCCCTTATATCATGCGGAGAAGGCAAATCAATTCCAACCCAATACAAAATAATCATGTACAGTTTCTGTATGAAAATAGAAAAAGATATTAAATGCCATATACGTTATATGCAACAATATAATCATCCGTTTTTGAAAAACAAAATTGTACAAAATGGTAGAAACAATCAAGGACTACTTACAGCAATTATTTGACTCTAACTTACAAAAATTAATGAATGTCTTTTTTTTTCTAACCATGCACTGACTATAGAACATCTATCTGCATGAATTCATAGTTTATTATAATTGATGAAAATATTGATGATAATATTACTATAACATCATGGTATTGCACTCTTTATCCATAACGACAACTCTTCTGGAGTTTTTGGCCACTATTGCCGTTTTTTGGATGTGCTAATTACTAAATTCATTTTAGTGCACTTTGGACTGCATTTATAAAGCTATGTGATGGATATAACATTGAGGAACTGTGTCCTCCTCAACTTTGCATGTTGAGTTATAACAGAATGTAACTAAGCAATTACAAGGGTAAATTAATAAGCACTACATCCGGTAGATATACTCACAATATGAGTAAGCTTTCAGAATTGATATGGACTTAAGATGCAGAATATTTCGTATGTGCATAAAGAAACACATGTAACACTTTCTGACATTTGTGCAACAAAAAGCACGCCACACGGCACAATAAAAGAATCATTCATTGTCAGAGTAACACAGGATAATAGACATATTCAGATATGATATTTCCATAATGATTGTAAGCAAGCAAACAAACTCACAAAGTAAAATAACACTTTTTTGAATATATTTTCATCTGTACAGATTGTTGATAGCTTGATAAAAATAAATACATTTGTCTTTTTTTGATTGCATTTTGTGATGAGATGATACATTATCTGATTACAACTGCATATGAGATATAAAAAAAACCTCTTTAATGAAGGGAGTCATTTTAAAGCAATAACTATGAAAACCGACTATTGAAGTCACTGCACTTAAGATTAAAGTTGCTGGAGACCAAGTTTTTCACACAACATATTCTTAAATCTTTGCCTCAGTTTAGCTTTCTTCTTAACTGCATAATTTGGGTAAAAGCAGCCTATTCCATTTGCAAAGAAATATGATTTTGTATTGCAATTCTACCACAGTGATATAAATGGTTTCTCCCACCTCTAAAACTGATAATCACACTTTCCTTTTAACATTTCTTGCAAAAATATTTCTCTGTGGTTAAAAGCACAGTGTTATGTCACTGATTCAGCTGCTACCTCACCAGTCCAATTCATTGCTTTAATACATCAAGGCCTCTTTCCTTTCTCTCATTGGTAATACTGCAGAAAATGAGAAGTGCAAGCTTTTGTGTCTTTCTTGTCGCTGTTGGCACAATGACACTGTGTTCTGTGAAAGTCCAACAGAACTCCAGCCTTTGCTGGTGCAGAGAAACTTTAGAAAATTATTAAGTCCACACAGACTGATTTGTAGCTATTTCTGTAATGTCTGAGCTTTACTTGATATACATTATACATTCATATTTCATTGATAAACAACTTAGCTACTTCATCCATCAACAGGCCATAGAAGTTCTGAAAATTAGTCTTAATATGTGGCATGAAGTCCATCTTCCTGCTTATGAACTTCTGTGACTATGTATTAGTAAATTGAGTCCAAGCCTGCATCATGGTCAGTTTCAGATGAGTGCTTGTTTACATTGTGTATTCCAGTAAGGTCACAGAGTTTGCCTTGACAGTGTCCAAGATCAGACTCTCTCCACACGACTGGGGTCATATGCATCTGAAGACAAAGTTATACAAGTTATATTAGCCATTTTTTATTCAAAACCACAATAAGAGAATGGACATGTCAAGGACCATCAATATAGTACAATATATGTCTAACAGAAAAGCAGATTGTTAATATCAGTTTAGTCGAAACTTTTTTAAAAATAATATAATATAATATAATATCTATTTGTCTATCTATCTGATTTGTCAAGGCAATGAGTATGGTAAATCAGACCATGCTTCCCTCTTGTGGTGAAAAGCCTCATTGCTCATTGCTCTCAAGTATTAAAACCAGTTATTGTGGCTTGGCAGCTCACAATGCTACAGAATATGTAATGGGGAAAAAACAATCCCTATTTTCACTAGAAGTTGGTTATCTGTCCATTTTTCTGTTATGCAATACAACACTTTGCTGAAGGTGACCTCTCCTAGGGCACTAGATAGAGTGGACTTCACACAATACCAATATCATAATAGCAAATAAAACCACACTAATATTAAAAGCAGACTGGTAAACAACAGCCAAGTATATATACTCTCCTGGGCAAAAAAAAAAGAAAGGGTCAAAGCCAAAAATGGCTAAATATTTAGCTTTTAATGGTGCACATTTGACCATTTTAACCACAAATCACTGGTCAGGAAATTTGCAAGAATTGTACAAAGACTGCAGATAAAGGGACAGATGCAGACATGGGATAGCCTTTGCCTGTTTTCTTCCAGACTACTTTTTACAGGAAGAAGAGTTAATGTTATTCCATTGAATAGTAGTTGAAAAATGTCTCCCACTTAGTTGGAGTTTAAATATTCTTTATAGTGTTCAGATCTGGACTCTGACCAGGACAAAACATGAGCCTGATGGACTTGTGTTTACAGTGTGGGCAGGATAATTTTCTTTTTGAAAAATAACATCTGATTGTTCCTCTTTAGATAATAACTTTTCAATTGTGGGAAGCAAGCCATTCTGCATTATCCTCATATACTCCATAGCTTTATTTGACTTTTCACAGTGAAGCAGCTCACCAGTACCAGCATCTTCCTCCATGCTTCACTGTGGTAGAGATGCGTTCCTTGTTGTATTTCTCACCAGATCTTCAAAGGTACCGGTCTGGTGAATAACCATGCAAGTCATGTTTTAACGTGATTCATCACTCCACACAACTCTGCTGAACCACTCTGAATCAATCAAACTTCCCATATTCTGACAAAAACCTAATTTTGTCTTTGATGTTTTTTTTTCTGAGACCTGCTATGTTTTTTAGGGAGTGCATTTGCTTAATTCTTGCAAATTCCCTTACAAGTATTTTGCATTTTGCTTTTTAATGCCATTTTAAACTATTTGGGCTTGACCTATTGTGTATGTATGTATGTATGTATGTATGTATGTATTTATTTATTTAGCTAGCTAGCCCAGGAGTGTACTGTTACTGTATATGCAGTCTGTAAGCCTTACAAACTTGGTTGCACTTCAGTGCACTGACCTGAAATAAAAAGCTTGTCATCATCCTCAATTGCAGGCATTGTATTATCCATGTTGAATCCTTGTGGCAGAGTGATCTCTCTCTTTGTTACCATGCCACTACGTGGTTGTGGGATTGGACGTGCCATTGACTTTGGTGGCTGCTTTGATCTTTCTAGTATCACCTCTTCAGCTGAAACTTCCTCCCGAGTCTTTTGCTCATCCTCTTCTTGCATATAACTGGTCATGTCTTTGTTTTCTCTGACTGCATTATCACTGTATTGGGTCTCTTCCACTAGCATTTCATCCTCTTTACCTGATTTGTTTTCTTTGACTGCATTCTCACTGTATTGGGTCTCTTCCACTAGCGTTTCATCCTCTATAACTGATTCTTTTAGTTTTCCTCCCTTTTCTTCTAAGTCTGTCTCTTTGGCAAAGGTGATCCTGGTGATAGTTCTCACTAATGACTGAGAGCTTTTTTCCTTTGCATAGATGGTGTACTCCATGGATGCTTGATCATTTGTGGATGAGGGGGACAGAGGAGGTGGGCAAAATGCCTGCAAGTGGTTCTGTGGCACTTCTGTTATCTCAGTATTAGCTGTCTCCTTCCTGTCTCCCCCACCTACACTTCGAGTCAATTCCTTATCCTCAGTCAGTGGAAGCGACAAACATAAGTTACTTGGAGGAAACTCTGGCAGCTCCAGCACTGAGGAGACTCTCTGGCTGTGCTTTTCAGCACTAGGTAAATCTTCTCCAGACTCTGGATCCCCTCCAAGTCCTACCTCTGACATATCTCCATGACTTTCCATAGACCTATCTGGCACTTCCTCACACTCTCTACTGTCATTCTGTTTCTCCTCATTTAAGCTAATCTCTTTGGTTTGTATCGCCAATTCTGCAGCATCTATAATTTTCAAATGTCTTTCTACTGGATTGTTATCAACTTGGTCAACAACCAAGGCTTCAACTGGCACTGCAATGCCAAGTATTCTGGCAGCCCGTTGTTCAATGGATTCATTTTCAGGAATGCCTTTGGCACACTGGACTTGGTACAGTTTACTAAGGTCTTCGGTCTGCATACTATTGGCCTTCTCTTGACTCAAAAGAGTTTCAAGATGTTCATCTGCCAAGGTCTTTTCATTACTCCAGCTTAAATATTCTGAATAAAAACTGTCATCATCATCCTCATAATTACCCTTAAACTTACAATGAAGACTTTTGATCACATTGATACGCGAGGACCTCCCCGATCTAGTAACGTCTGTGTTTCCTCTCCCAGCTTCCTTCTTGTGGAGGGCTTTGGAGTTGAAGGCATTATTATCGTTCAAGCTTTGAGTACCTTCAGCAAACTCAGGGCTGTGCCTGCTCAAATCTCCACTACTGTCTGATGATGTAATCTGCAAAGTCTCACATATCTCTGAGTTGTCTGAAGGGCTGGTTAACATGGGTGAGTCAGGACTCAAGCATGTAGGGGATCCAGAGGTCACAGTGTCTGGAATGGCAGTGTATACTGTTAAACCAACATCCTTAAGCAAGCACTCCTTCGGCACAGGGATATCCTGCCGATGTATTGCTGAATCAGTGTCCCCCCTCTGCATAATCTCAAAGTTGACATAATTATCAGTTTTGGTGACAGGTATATATTGCATCTGGCTGTCCAAGTTCACCTTTGCCTTGGACAAGGAACTTTTTTTACCTTTGTATTCTGGATGGCCTCTGTTCCCTGAATCAGACATTACATTTAAGTTATTGCTTTTCATTTGCATCTCTGTGACCTGCACTATATGTGACTGCTGGTCAGTTTCCTTCTTCATGTGAAGTGGGGTGGTTTCCTGTCTTGTATTATTGACTTCTCTGTTTGTGTCACTCAGCTCCAGAATACTGTTCAATGCCTCATCCAGCTCCTCTATATTCTGATCAACATTTGGATACTTCCCAGTATGATCCTGTATCTCCTTATTAAAAGACTCAAGCTCCCCAATGGCATCCCATTTGCGTCTGTTCACTGGCTTTAGCAAGAACTGTCCAAAAACTTCTTGACCATCTGCTGTTTCATTTGTCTTTCTCAGCAAAGGCTGACGGTCTGGAGATGATGGATTTGATGATGATTGGGTTAGAGTTGGGCTCCTTATACTTGAACTACTTCCATTCCTAGTTCTAGAGAATGCACTGTTCCTGGAAGGGTTGAGATCCTTTTGACCTATCATGGGATATCCGTAGTTGGCACTACAGTTGGTTTCACCTTCATTATCAGTGATTGCGTGAGGGGAAGAATGGTCATTTGCCAGAGGATGGGTATTTCTGGAAACTTCTGGAGAACCCGTCTGAGTTTCCTGGTTTCTGTAATGATCTCCAGGCCAGGATCCTGCATAGAACAATTCATTGTCTTGGCTTGTACTAAGTGACCTAGTATCTACAATCTCTTTCCTCAACGGGGATCTTTTAATGGATGGGGAGCTGCTGGACTGTATTTGTGTCTCTTTGCGTGATGTTTTTAAAAGGTTTTGGTTGCCATGCTGCACCACTGTGTTTTCTGTTGAATTAGTCACTTTTTCATTGTTATTTGGGTCAGAAACACGTTTGTTAGCTTGCATACTAATAGGGACAGAAACCAGGCAAAACATTGTCTCTTTGAGCTTCTTCTTTGAGTTTTTCTTGTTCTCAGACACAGTTTTTGCCTCAAATTTCTTTACTTGTGTCACTGTCTCAATTAAACCCTGGCTTGAATTCTGTTGCATTGTCATCTGAAGAGCAACAATATTTCCCTGGGTAGCTGGATGCCTGTTGCAGTTTTGGTCAGGTAATGTGGTTGAACTTTCTGTCTCCTTAAGCACTTCCTTGTGTATACTGTCCTCATTAATAGAGTCACTAATATTGCTTTTACTTGGTTCAGTGCGGTCAAAGGGTTTCTCTGTGAGAGGAAAGGCACTGTAGTTAGACTTCTCAGATAAGAGATTGACCGGAATCTCATTTCTGATGTTTCTGATTTTGTCTGCATCTGTCAACGAGTTTCCATCTATCCCTGCACCTGAAATGTGTCTGACATGATGGTCATCAAAGGGAATGAACTGAACATTACTCATCTGTTCTTCACTGTAGCCTGGATGTGCCTGTGTCCTGCAGGGCATACTTCTTCTTCCATCTCTGTAACAGTCTGGCCAAGCCATCCCAGTCTGCCTGATAAACCATTCCTGCACTTCTGTCATTGCAGATCCCTGCATATATGGGTCACCTCTATATTGGTGGTTACCCATTGAGATAGGATAAGTTCTGTGTCCTCTATTAACTACAGGCTGCCTCCTATAAGATGGAGGAGGGATATAACCGGGGGGCTCCATACCAGGTCCAGCGAGTTCTTGTACAAAGTATTCTTGCCTTGAGAAGGGCAGTGGAGTTCTGTCTCTGGGACGAGGGGCAAGCTCCCCTGTAAGTATCTCAGAGCTCCCACGCATCTGCTGGTGCACTTCATAAGATGGAGGTCTGAGAGGTCGACTAAATCTGGGCTTTGATAGTGGTGCGGACTGTGCACCTGATCGGTCAGTCCACCTCTGCCTGTTCTCCCCATCATTAAGATGCCGTCCATGAGGGTCTTGTGCATGGTGGCCATTTAACTTATAGCTTCCATATGATTCTTGCCCAGCAGTTGGTATGCTGAAGTACTGGAGGCTTTCAGATTGCAGAGCCATTCTGGGCAGTGACTGGGACTTGTTTTTGGTTCTGGGTGGAACGGCTCCTTCTGCAGTTCGTGGCCTGCGTTGCTCTTGTGCCACCTCGTTTTCAGATGGTTGACGGCTCATGCTGGTCATTGGACGCCACTCCTCTGTTCCCAAACTTTGGTACTTCCTTTCAGCTGCAATTCTCCACTGGTGCAGAGCCATCTCTCTCTCCCTGGCACGTGCACTCTCTGCCCGTCGTTGTCTTTCACGGTTATGTTCCTCTGTGCTTAAGGCAGATTCTGGTCTCCGATGCATGCCTTCTGGTTTATTGGGAACACCTCCTCCACTTCCACATGGATCCCTAAAGTCTGCATAATCCATAAGCACACTTAAGTCCTGACCTCTTCTTTGCCAGTAGGACACATCCTGCTCAGATCTAGGCTGAGAATGTATTCCTCTGTGGGTCTCAAAAAACCTGCATTAAAAACATACAGATGGAATTAAATAGAGGTCAGGTACTTTTTGCATTTACTTATGTTCTGGGTTCTGAAGCAAAGTTGTGAACCACTGAATTAGGTAAGACAAGCAAAAACTGGATAACAATAAACACATTTGTGTTTAAATCCCACTATGCAAGCACACAGGCAACATCAGACCAACACTAAACTAAGAGGGCAAAGTGTGTGTTGTCAACAAAGCAGAGAACCTCAAAGGGCCCAATAAATTGGGAAGCTTTAATGGTGCAAACAAACCAAGATAAATGAGCAGTTTCTCTTAAGCAGGAACATGACTAGCTTGCTTGGTGCAAACTGTTGAGTCAGCACTGAAGGTCTGTTCTCTTATCCAATATCTTGGCAGCAGAGAGAGCATAAGATCTGCATGTTAAACAATCCTGACCCTCACTCATGGAAGGATAATCTAGCTTAGTAACAGTCACAGGAGTGGAGATACTTTCTGCCCTGAACTGCTGAGTCTCAAACCATGTGACATGCAATTACTTTAAAGTGCAAAAATGCACTAAAGCTTGACAGTATCTATCTATCTATCTATCTATCTATCTATCTATCTATCTATCTATCTATCTATCTATCTATCTATCTATCTATCTATCTATCTATGACATTAAAAATCTATGGCACAAGGACATTATGACTTAATTGCTGATTAACATACATAAAGAAAAAATGACACTGTTCCTATGGAAAATAAAGTGTTCTCGTGCATTCTTTTTTAAAGCAAATGAATCTCTGAAGCTGCTCTGCGACAATATGGCTGGCAAATGCAGATATTCACATTTATATTCATCATGTTTTATTAATAATGGTGTTATATAAGAGATTGTTATAAGGAATGGAATATTGATCTGACAAAGGGCTCATGGGACATGTAGTTTACTGCTGGCTCTGCCTGCAGAACTAAGCATGCTCAGTAGGGGGTGCTGCAGGCTTTCTGACGTCACTTGTATTCATTCCACTAGAGTCCCGTGTGAAATGAGAGGAAATAAAAACCGCACTGCAAAATCTACTAAACACAGTTAATGAATTCATTGGCTACAGGGGGAGTGAGGTAGAAGAGAGCGCAGGGAAATGAGTGAGACTGAGGAAACAGAGTACATGAAAATGTAGGAAGCAAAAAGATTCCAGAGGATGAGATGAGGATGAAAGAAGGTGCAAAAAAAGAAGAAGAAATGGAGAGAGAAAGGCGACAGGGTTGGAATTAAAAATAAAGAAAAGGGAAAAACTGGGATCTGTCCTGGTGTGAAAGGGAAGTCCTTGACAGCTCCTACCTTTACGTAACACTCTTTATCATGCAAGACAGTTTAAACCTCAGATCAGAGGGACAAATGAAAAAGAAGGAAAGAGAGCAGCACTACAAGAGTGCAGGGCAGAAGATGAAGAGGTCAAAAACTATTAATCAGAAAACTCACCCACTGTCCATGGTCAGGCTGTCTTCTGGCAAACGTCCATCTCCTAGGTTACCGTTGTCCACATCTTGTGTCCTCTGCTTCCTGACCCTGTTTTCAGCGTCACCGGGGAATCCCCTGGCAGGAGCTTGTCTGATGCCTCCACTGCTGTAAACATGGTCCCCCTCATAGCCATTCACGCCACTGTGTCCTTTCCGCTTCTCAGCGATTTCACACCGGCTGTCGCTTCGCTTCGGCAGACATTTCTCATAGGTTGCAGGGTGGGGGGAAGACGAATGTGAGACAGGGACATTGTTGCTGTTCCTTTGAGGGACTTTGTATCCATGAGAGATGAGAAGGTCTTCCACGCTGTACATGGCTAGGCAATGTGTTTTTGCTTTTAGTGGTGTGTGCGTGTCCGTGCTAGTCCAGATGAGGCAAGCTCATGAACAGCTGCACAGGAGAGGCCATCGCTGTGAAAGAAAACGGGACAGAGGGGAGGGAGAGAGAGAAAGAGAGGGAGACACAGATTAAGTTAAAATTATTCTCTCTCACAGTCTTTTTCATAAGAGGATTGCTGCTCACAGCCAAAACAAAAAGGTCCTATCTAGCCACGAGAGAAACAATTTGTATGGCTGTCGGTCTGTCTACCCACTGACCCAGTCTTCTCTTCTCCCATCTGCCCCCTCTTCTCCTCTTTCCTCTGTTCTCCATCCAGAAAGGAAAATCTCTCCAGATGACTGACTACCTCACATAGAGTATTTTCATATTACCTAGGTGTGGAATGTTTTAAAAAATCTCGAGCCACAACCCTGACTTTAGCAAACAAGTAGTAGTAAGACTCTAATAATAATACAATTTTAATAAGACGACAATTAGCAATCTCATTGATTAAAAATATAAACCTCAGTAAATTCTAATATGTAATTATTTGAAGTAGCTCCAAAGCAGTTTGTTTGGATATTTGATTCTGTGTGAATCTTTGAATCTACAAGGATAGAAAACCCAAAATCACTTGCAATGTGGGCAGAACTGCCCCTATGAGGAAAACAGTTGAATAAAACTACTAAATAATGTGTAGTAGGCCCACTAGTCAAGACTTACAAGAACTTAGTGTAGTGTAGCAAGTAACAAAAACAAAACCTGCCTTGAATAGACAGAACTGGAACTGTCTGAATAAGAAAGGAAAAAGAGGTTACCTATCCTGCACACACACTCAGAGAGAGAAGGACAAAACTAAATTGCCTGCAATCTCCCACCATTAGAAGTATTACAGTTAATTCTTTGATCTGCTGAGGGTAAAGTCCAAACTGAAGCTTAAAAACTTCAATAATACCTGAATTTTCTCAGCTCTGCATGTTGAATGATTCTGTAATATTGATAAAACAAGCTAAAACCGAATATTTTATGGAAAATACATGGCTATTTAATTATAAAAAAGTACATGCACAATTATCAACACCCACAATATTGCTATTACGAATTATTAATTCAATATGACTTAAAAAAAAAGATATATATATATATTTTTAATCTCAGTTCCAAATAAACCACATAATAGTATCAGAAAGCACATCCAAATATTAGGTCAGGCTGGTAGGGTACAACATTCATGTAGACGCACAGCTCTCTTTCACAGAACGCCAGAATGCCAATATGATTTCCTCAAACCCATTTGTGCTGGAGGATTGAGTTTTGACAGTGAAAGAGGTAACAAATAAGGAGACAGCTTACATGTTGGTGAGAAGTCACGGGTTGAGCTTTTACCGATGGCACTGAACATTCACATGATGAAACAAATGCATAAGCATTTTCATGTCGCTATATTTACTGAAAAATGAAGCAGGAAAAAAAACGGCCATGTCTGTTTTGATCTAATGATATTTGTCAGAAATAGAAGGAAGCAGTTAGCAGAGGTATGGCTTTCACATTTTCACACTTTCCACAGATACTCCAGACTGATCCACATTCACCATTAAAGGCCCTTGGAGACAATTGCCCCTCACAGCATCTAGCACACACAGAGGTCAAAAGAAGCACCAAAATAATGCTAATTTTTCATTTTTTTTCTTTCCTCTACCTCTTTATATTTCCTCTTGCAGACACTCACACAGAAGAATTCAGCACAAGCAAAAAATGAGGGAGGTATATTTCCCATCTGTACTGCCACAGAGAAAACCCTTAATGTGAGTTTTATCAGTGCCATCCATTATCATTAGCGATGTCTTTCAGAAACATTTAGGAGTCCACCTGCAAACACACACATTCATATTTGAGCCCCAAAATTTAGGAAAAATCTGACATACACATACTGTATACTAAGGTCCAAATATGTATGTTTGTTTTTAACATGGATGAATAACATGATCTTCAGGTTTTACACAAATATGTTCATGTCAGCTGATGCTGCTGTCATTAAAGTTCCTATGAATATATGAAAAAATATATATGCCCTCGCAACAACATCTCTTCTCTGATGACGTGTGCACCGGATTGAGGGCGGGACATTAATGCCTTCTCTCCAGCAAACTGCATTTACATCACAACAGGGAAGAAAAGGTGATTGCAATTTCCGCTGCATGCAAAAAGAGGACAAACCAAAAACTAAAAGATTTTAAAATTCATTGAACTGTTCAAATTACATTCTATAGTACTTTTCACTCAAATTATTTGATAATATAACATGTTAAAAAAAAATCTGTGTCTCAGGCCCCACATTGTGTGCTGCTTCATCCCATAACAACAAAGCAAAATTCAAAAGCCTACGACTTGGGCAAAAAGTGGAAACAATTCAAGCCAGGTCCATGGAGACTTTAAATGGCATAGAAATGTCAATGACAAACTGCCTCTTAGAGTATGAGTAAATTCATAAAATTGCAGATACGTGATCTAGACTACTTTGCTTTTTTTTAATTAATGACCTGCTTTTATGGCTAACACATGTCGCAAGCTAAAAATGAACAAAAGCACAGGCAGACCAGTGATGTCATGAGGTTTTTCTGAGCCAAAATGCCACAATAACAGTGAATCATTTGATTCCACTCAGATATCGAGAACGTTTAGATTTTTTTCCCTCCCAGAAATAAATGCTGAGGACCACCTCTTTGTGCCTTTCGCTTCCTGTAAAATTCTTTATTTGCAGCTAAATGGTAAAGATAAAACCCATAAAGGCTGTGGGCCTCAGTCAAGACTGAACTCTTTTCCTCTATAGACTGTAAGGTATGCCTGTGGAGCCAGCACTGCCTTCCCTCATAAATGAATCACACATTTTTAGATCTGGCCTGCCTTGCGCCCCCCTCACCAGCAGGCCTGCAGAGCCCAGAGCTGCCGCCATGACAGTTTGGTGTCAACTCTTTATTCTTAGACTTAGTCAGATTTGTGGTATGTGTTTGTGAAAGAAACAAGACCAAAAGAGAGGGCCTAATAAAAAGACATAGTATATTTTCACTCAGAATCAGATAATGAACTGAATTTTTGCTAAACTTTTATCAAAGTTATTGTGCAAAAGTGTGATTAAGATGTACACCAAACCTGAAGTCCATTAACTGGGAAATGACTGGCCAGTGTAAAAGTGGAATGAGAAGATAAAACAGTAAGATGGACTTGCATGTCAGCCGAAAAGGAAAGCCATTACAGTGAGTCATTACATTTTGATGAAGGATTACAAAGACAACATTTTGTTTTCTTTCAAATAACATGAACCAATGAATTGTGCATACATGGTTCGTACACATTTTTACCAATAAAATTCCATGACTTTTCCAGGTTTTTCATGACTGTACATAATAAGACCAGGAACGTGCATTAGAGAGTAAATAAGGTCAGTTTTGATTTCATGTTGACTGCGACGAAGCTCGTGATGAATGACCTCATCAGACTAACAGATTGCCTAATAACTGCTATAAACATGCACATAATGTCCAACGCAGTATTAAGCCTGAGAGCACAGCCACTGTACCATGACACGGCAACATCTCTTTCACTGAGTCGAATGTAAATAGAGATTCTGAGTGTCCATGTTTAACCGAAAACACGTTTTATAACAAACAATACACTGTCCACCCTGTCCTATAAAAAGTTCTTTCAGAGCCTCACCCCTTCATTGTTCAGTACATCCACATGGATCTCCTACGCCGTCCCTTAACAGGCACGTGTTCACACTTGTACAACAGGCTCTTCATCGTAAGCAATGTGACATCACCACTGTTGACCTCTGCTTCCTGAGGATGTGAACATTTTAAGGGATGGGGCGGAGGACTTGAGTAAGCATTTCAGCCAGACACTGATACTGAGAGGACAGAGCCAAAACAGAGGGAAACGCTTCACCAGACTGGATTTTGGGATCTAAATATCATCATTCTGTCACTCATAGGCCTTCATCAGAACTTTACTTTGGTTCTAAACAAGTAGCCTATAATGCACTGGCAAACATCTACACAATTTGTCTCCATCTCCGGTTCACCCTTTCATTTATCCTTCTTAGGGCCTCTTGTAACCAGTGGGATATATTTCAGTAGTCTCCATTCTCTGCTATGCAAACCAGCATATAAGATTGCGTTACAATCTTACAGGCTACCTACGGTATAAGGAAACGTAACTCTGAAGTGGTTATATTTTTAGAGCGGAAACATATTTAGTCTAAGTTAGGCTTAGTTTTGGGTCAACAGTAATACACCTATATGAAAATGTGTTGGTCCTTTACATTTACAATGAATAATTTGCCCTACCGTTCAAAAGTTTGTGGTCAGTACGGTTTCTTTAAAAAGGGAAATAATACTTTTACTCAACAAGAGGAATGAATTAAATTTATAATAACTGACAGTAGACTTATTTTGTTAAATAAACGCTGTTCTTCTGAACGGAAATGAGTAGTAAATTAGCATGTTAGAATGATTTGAGAAGAATCTAAGTCTGAAGTAATAGGTGCTGAAAATTCAGGTTTGTCATGACAAGAATAGATTACATCTTAAAATATATTGAAATAGAAAACAGTTATTTAAAATCGCAATAATATGTCATAATATTAATGTTTTGCTGTATTTTGGTCAAATAAATGCAGCCTTGATAAGCAAGTAAGAGACTTCTTTCTAAAACATTAAAAAAGCAGTACAGTCCCCAAACTTTTGGCTGGGAATGTGGAAATATAGAAAAAAATAAGCAGGTTGTCTTACAGCAGTCAACAATATTATTAGCACCACAATACTGATTTTATGCGTAAAGCTTTAAGAGCAATACAAAAGCTAATGCAGAAGTACTGTATAACTGTGAATAATAGAGAAAGGGAAGAATTATTTATTTAAAGTTATGGATTAATTTAGTGCTCACAGATGATGTCAGTGATTTTGGATGTTTTTTGAAGGGTGTGATGGTCATAGTTGCCATTAAATTATCCATGCCCCTATTTTTTATTTTAATTTTTTTTTTTACAAGTGATAGACCTAAGCTGCATCTTTTGAGGAACATCACATTAACCAGCTCTTGTTTTGTTTGAGCTGAGGCCATGGAGATGACCATTTTGCTTTCTTTGAAAAGCGAGTTTTCAAACAATAGACTACAAGTATGGTGTCACTAAAGATATGTTTTCAAAGTCTGGTAATTCAATTGGCAGGAGGACCAGAGGATCATCAAAGCAGGAGGTAATGCTTTTCCAGGCTGGGACTAATCACAGTGCCAAACGGTACAATTCACAGTTCTTCATGTGTTCTTCAACCCTAAAAAAAACTAATTTACTAATTTACTAAAAGAGTACAGCGCTAATTTACAATAGACTGTGTAAAATCTAGATCCACAAGCCATCTTAATAAAATTTCTTTGATCAGATTTAAAACAGTTTCCTAAAGAAATTAGATTATTGGGCCATGCTGGGTAAGTTCATTTAAACCTAACTAAACATTTCGAAGCGTAAGGTACCATTTTTCTTCTTTCAATCCTGAAAAGTGTTAGCTCAAAATGAGATCTTTGTACCAATGCTTGAATGTACTTTCAAGGTCAACTGCTTCTCTGTGTCTAATGCTTAGTAATGTGGCAATTTAAACCGAGCAGAATGGTCAGGACTTGAATGACCAATAAAACAAATCAAAATGTATATGTCTATTCAAATATATGTCTGTAACTGTCACTAATGGGTGATATTTCTCAGTGTCATTTGAGACATTCATGATTTGTACCTCAATCTTCTTGGTTTATGATAGGAAGCACAAAGGCATTGAGAAAGATGATCCAACATCCAACAAGAATTATATCATAACAATTTATCAGTGAGGAAAAAAACGGTTGTGTTAGACCTTATAGCGGGCTTAATGATTTGACCAAGGACATCTACAAATGCACGTTTATAAAAAGCAACAATCAAACACAGAATTCGACAGGGTTCCAAATGAACTAACCCACATGGCTGTACATAATTAGAGTAAGGAGACTTGACTTACAGAGAGATGACAGTGACAAGGTTTATCAGTTAAAACACTCTGATCAAAGGACTGGTATACATAAGCATTCTGCTAATTACGCTCTTATCCTGCCAAAGAATATGATATCAAATGAAGGCGAAGAAGCTTAGAGACATTTCAACAAACAGAACTGTGTTAAAGAGCACAGACAGGAAAACTTGGTGACTACAGACTGAAACTGCAATGGCAAAATAACAGCCTAAAATATTTTAATAACAAATAAATAGCAAAGCAACAACACATAATATGCAGTGCTACTTCTGCTCATGTCCTTCAGTGAAGAAGGTTGCTGTTATAATCAAGAAAAAAACAAAAGGCTGACCAGTGATCCTTATCGGTTTCTATTCCTCCCCTGAGCTTAATCATCTCTGGCTAATGCATTTGACCAGAAGAATCCATACAGGAGCATATAGGAAAGTTCAGCAGTCCATCTGTTTTCCATATAAGTTTAAGGCCTCTAATCTATGACTTCATCATACGCAAGGGCTATATACCAATCCTTTACCCTGCATCTCTTTTAATTACCATTTGGCCGCTATTTCATTGCACTGTTTCATCTGCAGATGGTTGCAGTGACCTTAAAAAATGTCTATCACAACCATAAAGCTTCTGATCTTAAAGCAGTTAAATTGTTTATCCACCATTTTTCATTACGATGCAGTGTATAAGGAATTTGTGGGGGAAAGCTCATCTTTTTCATATTATTGCACTGTAATGTTGACCAATATGCATAAACTCGAAATATTGTAATTGATTAATGTAGTTTAGTAGTATATAAACTTATGTTTTTAATGAATTGTTCTGAGAAGTTTCTAGAAAGTCCCAAACATTTTTTTTTGGGGGGGGGACTTTCCAAAAAAAATTGTTTTATATTTATAACAAAATATAAAAATGTTATATGTTAACATTTTAAACTTTGTCCGAGTAAAAAGAAAGAAAGAAAGAAAAAAAAAGATTTTCAAATGCAGTGTCTGAAGTTCTTTGTCTATGTTTTGTTTCCAATACCCTGTAGACAAGAACTGAAAATAAACTTATATTTATGTTATCTGTTCTTTGAAAGAGCAACGGCCAAATATTTACTATGAAATAAATGAGATTCCATTCATGTTCTGCACATGAACCTATATGCAATGATTTGCCCTATGCTACTACAAAGGAGATTGTGAGCATATTATGTTTTCTGAATGAGACAACTCTATTCACTAATATCTATTATGGAGGACTTGTACGCTCTAAGGATGTTCACAAATGAAACTACACTTTAAAATCAAAACACCACACCACTGTAAAGAGCCCAAAATTCCACTGAAATTACTGTCTAATACATCTGAATGATTAACTGAGCAGTTTTTTTTAAACTAGGAAAAAATAATGTCATCAGTCTGTTCAGTAATGAACAGCCCTCACCACTTAATTCATTCAAAATTCCCTTTTGTGACCAACTGCATGCGTGCACCAGCAGTATCAGCACATTTCCAGGAAACAGACTGAATACCCTGTAGACAAGAACTGAAAATAAACTTATATTTATGTTATCTGTTCTTTGAAAGAGCAACGGCCAAATATTTACTATGAAATAAATGAGATTCCATTCATGTTCTGCACATGAACCTATATGCAATGATTTGCCCTATGCTACTACAAAGGAGATTGTGAGCATATTATTTGTTTTCTGAATGAGACAACTCTATTCACTAATATCTATTATGGAGGACTTGTACGCTCTAAGGATGTTCACAAATGAAACTACACTTTAAAATCAAAACGCCACACCACTGTAAAGAGCCCAAAATTCCACTGAAATTACTGTCTAATACATCTGAATGATTAACTGAGCAGTTTTTTTTAAACTAGGAAAAAATAATGTCATCAGTCTGTTCAGTAATGAACAGCCCTCACCACTTAATTCATTCAAAATTCCCTTTTGTGACCAACTGCATGCGTGCACCAGCAGTATCAGCACATTTCCAGGAAACAGACTGCAGCCTTTCTCAACATACCACTAGATAAGTGATGCTCTGTGATTCAGCTCTCTTCCTATTTTGTCCTTCCGTTGCCCTCCCGTTTCTTTCGACTTAAGGAATACGTAAGCGGACAGCTTTGAATGTACATGTTCCTAGTTCCGTACTTGATGAAGGTAAAGTTGTGTGAAAGAAATATCTTGAGTAGCGGTCAATCGATATGGATTTTTCAATAGACGATACATTTACATTTAGTCATTTAGCAGACGCTTTTATCCAAAGTGACTTACAAATGTTTAGTTTTTTGTTGTTATAGATACGATATCTATAGAATGTCAATACATGTGATGTAGGCTAAAGGCCCGTTCACACCAAGAACGATAATTATAACAATAACTAATTATCGTAATTAGGGATGCACCGATATGAAAATTTTGGCCGATACCGATAACCGATTATTCTTTATTTTTGAGCATTGTTTGTTTTCAGGAATGTCAACTTCATCTTGCACCACACAAGTTGATTTATTACCCCCAGTCAGCTTAGGAACTTGTTTTTTTTTTGTAGTAGTAGTAGTAGTAGCCTAACACAGGCTGCATGCTGTATAATAAAGTTTCAAATAATGACAATACTTATATTTTTTGATGTTCCAAACCAATAACGTTCGCGCAGACCACTGTTGCTATGGTTACCTCCTGACAAATGCAATTTATGTTGGCGAGTGTTTTTTTTTTTTACGCCAAGTTATGTAGCCACGCCCCTTTTCAGCGCTGCGTTTGTTGTCTTCCGGATTGTATTTCCACAACATTAACGTACGAATTTATGAATGAACATTTCGTTTTAAGATCTGCCCGATCTACTGACATTTATGACATCTGCTTCAAACATTACAATGCTCATGCTAAATTTCGTTAATTCTACAATAAGTAAATCCACTTAACCAGCTAATTACGATGCTATAAAAATATACAGAGCTACCACCAAAACGGAAGTTCAAAGACAAATTTCTAAAGACGGATCGTGCATAATCGAACTCATATGGTTATTAAAAAGTTTGAAAACACAATTAAAACACAACCTGTTAATATGTAAAAGATATAGGATAATTAGGAGGTTAGACCCCCACATTTTTATTTTATTTGATATTTTATGTTATTTTTGGATTACACGAGTGACACCAAAGGCGTGCGTGTATAGCGAAACATGAATGTTTGGAGCATTAAAAAAAGAAAGAAACAGTTGTTATTAGTGGATTTGAGCACTTTTGTAATTGGATACAGTGAATCCGTGTGCACACAACTTGACATCAAAGTTATAATGGCATGTTATGTGAAGCTCATCCCTCCTCTGCACTACACAGTCTGCTCATTTCACCTTTACCTCGCTAATGTAGCACACATCTTGCGCACTGCGCCCGACCCCTAAGCACACAATTCACAGACAAGCAGCAAGCTGTCTGCCTTCTGAAGTATTTTTTCCCCCACAGCGGAACGCAACAAATTAGCTGATAATCATCAATGCAATTCATCTCAGTCCTCAATATCATTCCAGCGGCATCCGCGGTCATTTATTCTGTGATAGATGCAGGGACATTAGCCCACGGGACGAGATGCAGGAGCCCGTTATCTCGCAAGTTCATCCCCTGCGTTTATTGAACGGGTCAGCGTTACTAACGTCAGCAGCTGAAATCGCGTTTAATTCTGCAGGGTCGACAAGAAAGCCTCATCAACGAGCCTATTTTCTCACATGTTCATATATTTCAGTAAAATGTAGCGTCCACGTACCTGTGATGTGCTCTTTTCGCGGTCCGTGTTTAGTTCCTGATGTAGTGTGTTGAATCCGCTCTGTGCTGAGCATATCTGAGGGAAAGGTTGAGCAGAGGAGAGGGAGAATTGAGCTCAAATGTGTCTTGTGTGGGTCGTCTGGCGAGGGGAATGGTTCCTCCCAGCGTGTGGGTAAACTTTTACTGACGAGACTGTAACATACACCACCCACCCCACCCCATGCCATTACACTATTACACAAACCCATACTGGCTCATGCTGGACTGGACATATGATCTTTGAGGACTACAACTGGTGAATAATGTTGAAAAAGCAAGCAAACATCTAAATATACTAGATCACTTTTTTTGTTTTTTACCCAGCTGAAGAAAAAATGCTTCAAGCTGCTCTTTGCAAGTAAATGGTGAATTATTAAATCAAATGTTTTTTTAAAAAATTGCATTTTCAGTTGTATTTGTACACCTAAAAGTGTTTTTATTACTTTAAATGAAAAGTAAGTAATTCATAATGCAGTTAAGACTAAAGTTTTCATTTGCAACTATTCTCATTCACTTTAACACATTTGACTAGAAGCTGATCTTAATCGTTAATCAATAAACCATTTGGTATATCTATTAGTTTTATATTAGAAAACAATATATACATCTGAAACCGTATTGCCAAGTATAGTGAGTTCATATTAATGTTAGTAAGTTGTTTGCCATATATATTTACAAAGTGTGTGTAAGTAGTAAGGATGGCCTGCCAAGGAAAGGAACCAATCAATGAACAAGAGTGAACAAGAGGCCAAATAGGTGGGTATCAGTGGGAAAGGGCTGTATCAACTAAAGTCAGTGCCACAGTGTCCAATGTGACAAATTTGAAAAGGTCAACAGCAGTATCAATTCAGTCATATATAAGAACAGTGCAATAGTCATACTTTTTTGAGCACTATAAATATCATTACAGTATACAGTAGTGCACAGTACTACTTTGTTTTACTCTAAATTTGCACAAATGTCACTTTCATATATTCATTGATAACAGACTGGATGGATATTATGATAAATTGTCAGTACATTTAGTGCTTTAATCCTTGAAATCAAGGCATTTCTAGTTGTTTGTGACGCTTCATGTAGTTCAGTAGCACACAGACACACACACACACACACACACTCCCCATACCTGAGTGTTTTCGTGGTTGACCATTCACAGATGGAAATCTGTTCGCTTTGAGCAATTTAAAAGCACAAAAAGGCTGACAGATCTAATAATATTGACACAGATGTTACATATAACAGTATCCACACAAGGTTTTTGGAAGGGGAGTGGGTTGTTGGAGTCTCAGTGCATGCTCCCTTTTTACTTCTCATTTTGAAATCACCAGAGTTGATCTGAGCTGTGGTTTACTTGTGTTTTCAGTGAAATCATTAAGTTTGTTTTGTGAGGTCACTCTATGCTTAAATATCTGCTGAAGTAACTCTCAAGGTCATGGACCTTCAACCGCTTCAATGTTTGTGATAATTCCAACCGCCTTTAAATGACCTAGTCACTGCTTATCTGCTTCCTGTAAATCTAGCCATTGTTTAAGTCTGCCTTCCTTCCACTAAAGTTCAGATAAACAGTATTAAGGAAAGTCATAGCTTGTACAAAAAGAGGTAGCATCCGGTGTACCGGTGTCCATTTGGGAAAAAGAGGTACAAAAAATACATTTTCCTTTGAGGATATGTGGAAATTCTTCTAAATACCTCCTAAATCAACCACAAGAAGTTCAATAATTAATGAATATTAGTGCACCTGGAAATCATTATGGAGTTTAAGCATATGAGATGTAAATGTTATGTCCAATAAAAACGGTATCTCAAGACACACACACACATATAATATATAAAATCAAATGAGGATCAGCCTCTCATTGAAAATGTCAGTCTGAAATGATAGCATTTTTTAAGAACTATAAAGGACATACCATCATTATAAAATAATGTATTATTAGCGTAATACATTATGTTAAATACTGGATGTGTGCAGAATGTGTTTAATGTATTATAATAAATTAAATATGACATATAGACTAAGTGATCGCTAATTAATATCAGCTGAAGTGTTGAAATGTTTTGCTTAACTCGTGTGAATGGGAGCAAAGGGGAGACGCTTGGCAGCCTGAAACAGAACACAAGGTAATGGGCTTTGGAGGACAATCAATCAGCTGTGATATAGCTAGCATAGCTCCAGCCCCTTTAGCTCAATCATACACATACACAACTTGGCGTGGTGAACAGAGAGATTGTCTACCACTCAAGGTTTCAGTGCCTCTTGGCCAATGTGCTTCACCTTGGACTGTCTGCTCAGCTCTGGTCTGGTTCACTTGGCATTTACAGCCTGTCAACTAGAAACTGTCAGACAGATTATTTAATTGGCTTCCAGTTAATCTGTAAATAGATCAAGGGGGTGCCTTTATACATATGAAGCACGGAAATATCAACTGCTTGACCAGTTTACATCATTTACAGTGTTTAAGATTGGAAATGTTTTATCTGTAATTAACATTAAATGCAAACTAAATACAAAAGCAAATATAGACTCTAATCTCAGCTTTACATTTTGAAGATAAAGTAGGTGTTTGTGGGCTGACATATTTTACAATGATGTGGCTCCATATACATCTTATTATTCTGCCAGACTGAACAAAACACCAAAATACAGACTTGTGGTTTTGAGTTGGAAAACACTGCAGGGGTTCGCTAGTTCCTCAATTGCATAAAAGAAAGTTTCCAAACGCAGATCTGCTGGAATAACCATAGTGTTCGTGGAGATATTCTTAACATCCACTAAAATCAGGCTCTGCACTTTTTGGGTCCAAACAAAGTGAACCTATAATTTGGAGTGACTATTTTGGGGATTGCAGAGTGGCCTGTGGTGACTGGACCCATGCCACCGCAAAGCCAAATACCAGGTCGTGGAGTTATCCATTCCTCAGACTTGTTTGACCGAAACGGGTTGACTGTCTCCACACTGATTGTTGTTGACACGTAAGTCTGTTAAAAAGGAAATTGAGAAACCAAGGGGAACATTTTTGAGAAATTTTGGCTACAACTTAACCACTGATTTCTAGTCGTGTCCATTTTTGGAAGGCCAAACAAATTAGTTTCGCTTTCACAACGAAACACAGCGTCACACATGGCGGCCTAGAGTGATCAGAGGCCGGGGGATAAAGTGAGGAACGGCCGGAGGGCTAGAGTGAACAGAGGCGGCGGATTCGATGAAGGAGCTTCCGGAGGGATTGCGGCAACCACATGTGACGACCCCGGGCTGGACTCCGCTTCGTCCACGGTGAAAGCCGATCCGACGATCCACAGCGCAAAGTTGTTGTATTTCCTCAGCAACCAGCACGGATCAGCTCCAGGCATGACGAAGCAGCTATCGTCCTCTTTTGGAAGGCCAAACAAAGTAGTTTCGCTTTCACAACGAATCACACAGTGCCTTCACGACATGGTAACAACAATATTACAGCGAGAATAAAAGTTACGCCTTCTTTCTTTGCGTGAACATTTGGGCGGCATTATGCAAATCTTCCCACATAGTGACGTAGGTATGTGGGGGGGGCGTGTTAGAATGAGCCGTTTTAGGTAGGTGTGGCTGACTCTTAACTTTTATAAAGAATATCTCTTTGGATTTGAGACTTTAGTCTTTGCAACTTTACATATCTTCTTTATGCACCAAGAGCTTGTAACACTCCAAATTGAAATCGCATCATATGACCCCTTTAAGACCACATGGCAAATCACTGTTATTTGACTAGAATTCTATTCTATTCTATGTTTATGAAATACCCAGCTATTAATCACTTTAAAAGACATCAGCAACAGTGTAACTTGTTTTGCTGGTATATGCCACTCGAATGTCCATCACTGGAAACTTGGAAAGTCCTATATTAAGCAGGATGCTGCTGCTGTCTGAAGAACAGGCATTGTTTGCTCCACATCTGTTATGATGATCCCATTTTTATCTCACGTACTCCTCCAGGTAAAAAAATAAATAAAAATTGTGGGATGAGAAAAGCCATGATTTATGGCACAATAGTCTGTTTGAGAGACCAAACTGAAAATATTGTATTATATTTATATTACTATTATATACATCTATTATGCAGTATTAATTGAATATTAAATATTTGTTCATTAAATATTTGTTCGTTATCTAAATATTTTATTAAAAAATAATGTGAATTCTGATAATTCAGCTTTGCCATCACACAAATAAATTACCAATCCTTTTTACCAATACCTTTGAACAGTAATGTATATGTATGTAAATATGCATTCATATACATTTTTTAATTAATGTGTATTAATAGAGGGAGGAAAATAACACAAAAACAAACAAAAGGCTAAAAGATTGTGTCCATGAAAATGAATGCTGTAAATAAGATGTAATGGGAATTGTATTAAATAAAGAATTACAAAATAAATAAAAATTTTGGAAACCACAAATTAATATTAATATTATCTATTTATAAGACTGCATCACACAGACAGTGGATAATCAAAAGGATTTGAGCTGTATGTAAACACCAGTATTTGCCATACATGTACTTTATATTTACATCATAATTAGATCTCTCCTTATGCAAAGTCTCATTTTTCTCCACCTCAACCAGAACAGATCTATAAAATAGCTGAAGAATTGGCTACCACCTGTGCTGACAAATAGCAATAATAATTGAAGAGATGAATCGCAGTATCACTTCAGCCACAAAAGGGGTGCTGGTGTGGACCGGGGCATTTAGATCAGAGACTAAAGGAGGGGCCTAGTTTATGTTTCCACATGAGGTAGGATGGACCACTGGTGTGGCAGAGGGGTTGCATTAAACATATGAGGATCATGTACAACCCACTCACCTCTGAACTGCCTGTGCGAACAACTGCCAGCTGTTGATATTAGGGCTCATGCTGATCTACTTTGATGTAGCACAAGCCCACAACCTCATACCGAGAACTTCTGTTCAAGAGCACTCTATAATGAAACACATCAGGGAGGTGCAGAGATGGCTTAGTTCGAATCTATACAAGGAATTCAAGATAAAATCTCAATCTTAGTTGAATTTCCTGCCGAATGTCACCTAATTAAACATTGGATCGTATGTCTAATGTACTCAGAGAATGAAGAATAGTAGAAAAC